AATATCGGTGAGGAATGGGGGGAGGGAGGGGGGGAGGGGGGGAGATGGAAGTGCATGAGGCGAATATCGGTGAGGAATTGGGGGGGAGGGGAGGGGGGAGGGGGGGGGGAGATGGAAGTGCATGAGGAGAATATCGGTGAGGAATTGGGGGGGAGGGGGGGAGGGGGGAGATGGAAGGTGCATGAGGAGAATATCGGTGAGGAATTGGGGGGGAGGGGGGGAGGGGGAGATGGAGGTGCATGAGGAGAATATCGGTGAGGAATTGGGGGGAGGGGGAGGGGGGGAGATGGAAGGTGCATGAGGAGAATATCGGTGAGGAATTGGGGGGGGGGGAAGGGGGGAGGGGGGGGGAGATGGAGGTGCATGAGGAGAATATCGGATGAGGAATTGGGGGGGGAGGGGGGAGGGGGGAGATGGAAGGTGCATGAGGAGAATATCAGTGAGGAATTGGGGGGGAGGGGGGAGGGGGGGGGAGATGGAGGTGCATGAGGAGAATATCGGATGAGGAATTGGGGGGGGAGGGGGGGAGGGGGGAGATGGAGGTGCATGAGGAGAATATCGGTGAGGAATTGGGGGGGAGGGGGGGATGGGGGAGATGGAGGTGCATGAGGAGAATATCGGTGAGGAATGGGGGGGGGAGGGGAGATGCGGTAGGGGGGGGTTGAGGTCCATGAGGAATTAGGGAGGGAAGAGTGGGGGAAGGGTGGGGGGGAAGGGGGAAAGGGGTAAGGGTGGGGAGTGGGGGGAGGGGGAAGAGGGGAGATGGAGGTTCATGAGGAGAATATTGGTGAGGAATTTTTTTGGGGAGGGGGAGAAGGAGGGAAGAGAGGGGAAAGGGGGAGATGGAGGTTCATAAGAATATTAGTGAGGAATTGGGGGGAGGGGAGGGTGGGGGGAGGAGGAAAGGGGATGTTGAGGTCCTTGAAGAGAATATTGGTGGGGAATTGGGGGGAGGGGGGGTGTTGGGAAGGAGGGGGGTGTTGGGAGGGGGGAGGGGGGGTGTTGGGGGAGGGGGGGAGGGGAAGGGGCTGTTTTTGGGGGGAGATGTTATTCCACTAGTGAGTGTGGGGTGAGGTGAGGGGATAGGGGGGGTGGGGGTGGGGTGCTGTTGGAGTTCCACGAGGAAAATATTATTGAGTGGGGGGGTGGGGGGGATATGGGGGTTATTGGGGGGGGGCTGTTGTGTGTTCTACGAATCAGCTTTATTATATTTAGCGCAGTCTTAATGAATATGATTAAGTACATAGATCCCAGTCTCTAACTCAATTGTGGTTCAAAGATATATTTGCAATGATAGTTTAAAATAGGATATTTTTAGGTGTTCCTTGAAATACAAGTTTGTGCATGTTTATGTAAGTGCATTTCTCCCTTTCCCTCTCTCTGTCTTTGTTTGAATGTGTTTGTTTTTGCCTTGTCTATCAGTATCGACATCACACGTGCACATTTATTATGTTCACACGGATACACACAGACAGACACACGCACACGCACATGAACACGCACACGTACACGCACATGAACACGCACACGCACATGAACACCCACACGCACACGCACATGAACACGCACATGAACACGCACACGCACATACACGCATTACACACGCTATCACACACACACACATATATGTATGTCTCTCTCTCTTTCCCTCTCTCTCTCTATATGTGTGTGTGTGTGTGTGTGTGTGTGTGTGTGTGTGTGTGTGTGTGTGCGTATGTATGTATATATATATATATATATATATATATATATATATATATATATATATATATATATATATATATATATATATATATATATATATATATATATATATACATGCATACATACATACATACACACACAGACACACACGCATTCATCTTTCTCCTCCCCGTGGTACTCGCCTAGCACAGGGTCTCTCGTCTCCCTCACTGAGTCTTTTGTCTAGAGCTTTTTTCCTCTCACTTGCGTCCTGCTTTTGCCACTTTCCTGCGCTTCCCTCTTCCTTTTGTTATCGTTTCCGTCTCCTCTTCCCTCCTTCGCTTGTCTTGTGAATACGTTTGAGAGTGATGGTAGATTGTGGAAGGAGTGTGAGCGAAGTGTTTTTTGTTGTGGTTGTTTTGCAGTTTGGGTGTTGTGATGTGTACTTTTTCTCAGTCTGTGTGTGTGTGTCTCTTTCTCTTTCTCTCTCTCTCTTTCTCTCTCTCTATCTATCTATCTATCTATCTATCTATCTATCTCTTTCTCTCTCTCTCTCTCTCTCTCTCTCTCTCTCTCTTCTCTCTCTCTCTCTCTCTCTCTCTCTCTCTCTCTCTCTCTCTCTCTCTCTCTCTCTCTCTCTCTCTCTCTCTCCTTTCTGCCTCCTCGTGCCTTCTTCTCTTTCTCTCATATAATCTCTAACCTTTCTCTTTCTCTACCCCTCCTGTTCTTCTTCTCTTTCTTTTTCTCTCTTTCCTCCACTCTTTTTCTCCCTCTCTTCCCTTTATGTTCTCCCCAATTCTCTCTTCTTCTCCTCCTT